GTTCAAGATACAAATACAGCCAGCTTGGTGATGGATGCATGTTAATCTCATGATAACATACCAAGCAAGCTGAGCACAGTGCTGCATGCCTTTAACCCCCAGCACACCAGAGGCAGAGGCAGTTGGATCTCTATGAGTTCCCAACCACTATGGTCTTTGTAGCCAGTTTCAGGTTAGCCAGAGCTACATAGGAATGTTGAGAAAATGGGATATCCATAGTGGCTATTTTCAGGGTATCCTTGAACTCACAGAGATCCATGCCTCCAGAAGGCTAGGATTAAAGGTGTGAATGCCACCATTTTCTAGCCTCTGTATCTAGTGGCTGTTCCATTCTCTGACCCCAGATAAGTTAATTAGGGTGCACAATATTTTGGGGAACATAATACCACCACACATGATCATTTCATTAGATGCTCAAAAAGCCTTTGACAAAATCCAACACCCCTTCATGACCAAGGTCTTGGGGAGATCAGGAATACATGGAACATTCTTAAGTATTGTTTAACTGATCATTCCTCCATCCTTGAACAATCTTAGCAGCCTGATTAAAACTCATCTGGTCACAGAGGGCCAAATGGACAGCAAGAATGCCTTCCAAGTTCTGTAACTCAATAGGACAACTCTGTTTCACACCTAGTAATTCAAAAGAGAAAAAGTAACAGATGAAATGGTGGATATGCCTACTGATCAGATCTGACACACATTATAATATATATGCAAAACTGTGCCCCATAAACACACATATTGATTTTATCAACTAATCTTTAATTTAATCATAGCCAGTGTGCATGAGCAATTCTGGGCTTTCCGATTCTATTTCACTAATCTGTATGTCTGCCTTTATGTCAGCAGTAGACTATTTTGATTGTTGCAGCTTTGTACGTAAATTATGAAAGTACTTAAATTATCATGCAGGATGTCCTGCAACTTTATTTCTTTTTCTTTTTCAAGATACTTTTAAAGCCAGGTATGGTACTTGCCTCTAACCCCAGCTCTTGGGAGCAGAGACAGGTGGATCTCTGGGAGTTTGAGGCCAGCCTGATCTATATAGTGAGTTCCAGGACAGCTAGAATGGACTTTTCTATTTCTGTGCAAAATGCCACTGGGGTTTCGATCTGATGTGCATAGAACTGATAGACTACATTCAGTGATATTGTCATCTATTTTTTAAAAAAGTCTTTCAGACAAGCTGGCCCATGCCTATAATTCCAGCCACTCAAGAAGCTGAGGCAGGAGTAATAGACTACTGGCAATGTTCAAGAGAAAGCCCAAACTGACCTACTCTGGTGATAGGGTGGCCAAACACCCTAATTTTTGTGCTAGAAACATCATCCAATGACTGAGGAAACCAGATGCAGAGATCCATGACCAGGCCCCAGGTGGAGCTCCAAGAGTCCAATTGGCAAGAAAGAGGAGGGTTTGTATGAGCAAGAATTGTTGAGACCAAGATTGGAAAAAGCACAGGGACAAATTTTTGTTGTTGTTGAAATCTAACTTTAAGCCATGGTGGTCCAATAAAATAGAGGAGGTTATTCTCAAATATTATTAAGGACCCACTTTAATAATATTCTTCCCAGTGGGCTAGAAGAGAATCTATGAACAGTGAACATTATTTTTGGGAAATGAATCTGAGGAAACCAAGCTCTTTCTTTGTCTACTTTATTCCTCTGGGATAAAATCCTGGCTACACAGCTACAGTTCTGTTTTCATGCCTAGCTTTTTTCTTGCCTGATTTCTCTCTATATTTATCTACTGTCCCCTCTAAGTTCTATCTTAATTCTCTCATCTTAATTCTGCCTCATCTAGGTCCTTCTCATTTCATCCTTACTTATCTAGTATGTCCCTAGCTGGCTCTTTCTCATCTTTCATCTTGTCCTCAAGTTCTCTCCTCAAAATCTTCCTCTAAGTCTCCTTATACCTCTCAGTTTCCCCAAGTCTGAGGAAACTGAGGTATTCAGTTATAAACCCAAGCAATAGCAATCCTCTGGCAGAGGAAGTCATTAGGCTTGAATTCCTACAGGGTCATAAAGTCAGGTAAGAATTTACCTCAAGCAGTGACTATCAGGCTTTCTTTTACAACCCAAAAAGGGAGTTGTTAAAAAAAAAAAAAAAGAGGTCAACTGAGAGCTAATTCAAAGAAAAGAGATTTATATACTCAGTCTACATTCCTAGAAGTGGTTAGGTAAGAAGTTCGGAGTCTATAATGTTAGTGAGGTTGTATAAGAAAAGAGGGTCTCTGCTTAAATTGCACAAGAAATGAAGCCATCCTCCTGACCTCGGAGACAGGTGTTGTTTCTATAAGGGTGTTACCTTAGTTCAGGAGATTGTTTGGCTTTAGATTCTTGGTAGGTATTTTAGATAGAGACACTGTTAGAGGTTCTTGGGAGCACACATAGCATACAAGAAAATCATTGTAGGAACCATTTAATATATATACAAGAGCTAAAACATCACCAAGACTTCTTAAGCCATGGCTTAACCGTCGGAAAAATCCTTGACCTTTCCATGTAGTAGTTTCTGTGATAGTAGCTGAATTCCATTTTGTTTTCCTATGGCTTGCAGCAGTTCCAGTTTTTTCATTTAGTAAAAAAAGGAGAATGTTTAATTCTCTCTAGGGTAGCAAAAAGCATGGAAAAATTTAAATTTGGAGATGACTTGAAAAATGAAAACATGTTTAATTAATATTTATAATCAATAATCTATGTAGATGGCAAGTTGAGAATTAGTTTAGCCATATACTAGGTATAGTTGTATATAATAAGAATTTCTCTGTCCCAAGTAGGTAGCAGAGGAGTAACATAAAAAATCTATTATTAGCTAGTATAGCATAATATGGTCAAATGTGTCTAAATACTATAACTGTGACTTATCAAAAAGAAATGATTAGTTTGGAACATAACTCTATCAATCTCTGATTAGTAGTATTAATTTGGTTAAATGGTATTTTAAAAGAGGCATTGTTAGATAAAGGGTTACTTGAGTTAGTCATGAGCACCTGTTGGACCCAGGTTGCAGTTGAAATGGACCTAATAATTTAAATTTGTAATCAAGGCAATATTGACCCATTAGCTATGGGAGGACTGTAATAATCTGTGTCAGGGTATGCATAGCAAGACAGAAATACAGAAAAATTGTCAGAAGCACATGAGGAGAAAATCTGATAGTATATAGATTTCAGGATAATTGGCAGAATTTATAGAATTAATAATAGAGTATTTTTTAAGGGCAGTCCAGCCCCTGGGCTGGGGAGTTCAGCACCAAAAGAGGGGTAAGTCACCACGGGGCTGTAGAAGTCATTCATGGTTACTCCTGCTGATATGGGTCTGAAGCTGAGGGAACTGAAGGCTGGAATGCAGTGGGAACCCAGGAAGAGCAGGCTGTTTCAGGCTCTGTAAGACATGTGTAGCAGGATTTTCTGTCTCAGGTGCTAGAGGGCATGATGCAGGGCTGAGCTGGACAGCACATGTGTGTGAGCTGGAGGATGGGGTGCAGACCTGCAGCTAGACAGCATGTCTGTGGTCCAGAGGGTGACAACCTATAACTCTTTATATGATTAGAATTTCTGCTGGAAACAAATATATGTATTAGTGGTAGAACATGCAGCTGAGGAGTTTTAAGGAAGAAACTTTTCTCTTAAGTATACCTATGGAATAATAAATACATGGTATAAGCAGATGAGAGAAGGGGATGAGGCCATGGAGAGAGGGCATAATCCACTCACCCATAGAAGAAAAAGAAAATTTGTGAATGGGAGACATAAACTGTAATCAGATTGTGTTCCTCCTGATCCTTCTTTGCTTGTGAGAATTGGTCAGTTTTGATCTCCTGGAGAATTTTTATAGTATTTTCATTTTATAATTAACTTAATTTCACATATCAGCCAAAGATTCCGGTCCTCCCTCCTCCAACCTCCCACCTCTCTCCCCCAAACCACCCCCCTATTCCCACTTCCTCCAAGGCAAACTCTCCCCTGGGGAGTCAGCCCAGCCTGGTAGACTCAGCCAAGGCAGGTTCAGTCCCCTCCTCCCTACACCACGGCTGAGCAAAGTGTTCCAGCATAGGCCTCAGGTTCCAAAAAGCCAGTATGCACCAAGGACAGGTCCTGGCACCACTGTCTGGGGGCCTCCCAAACTGTTCAAGCTAATCAACTGTCTCACTTATCCAGAGGGCCTGGTCCAGTTCCATGGGGGTTCCTCTGCAATTGGTTCACAGTTCATGCCTTTCCACTAGTTTGGCTATTTGTCCCTGTGCTTTTTCCAATCATGGTCTCAATATCTATCGCTCAAACAATCCTCTCTCTCTCTCTCTCTCTCTCTCTCTCTCTCTCTCTCTCTCT